ATTTAGATTTTAAATGTTGGGATAAGAGAGGTTGGTGAGCAGCCCTGCAGGAAGGGATCTGGGGGTGCAGGAGGATGTCAGGGGAATCCTGGGAGCCAGGAGAGCAAATCCAGCCTGGGGTGATTCAAATACAGAATAAACAGAATATTTATTGCTCAGAGCAGCTGTGGCTGCCCCTGGATCCCTGGAAGTGCCCCAGGCCAGGGCTTGGAGCACCTGGGACAGTGGAAAGTGTCCCTGGCCATGGATGGGATGGAGCTGATGATTTTTAAGGTCCGTCCCTACAAACCCCAGCACTGTCCCCTTGCAGGGAGGCTGCGCCATAAATCCAGCAGAGAGCTGCACGTTTGGAGCGGGACATCAAAGATCTACGGTGCAAAATGTGTTTCAAACACAATCTGAAGTTTGAGCAGGACTCAAAAGACGATTATTCAAAAATCCAATTAAAAGTTTATCCTTTGCCTAAAGGCATCCTCTTAACTCCAACAGAACTCGTTAGGAGAACTTTTTAGTTGCAGTAAAAATATGAAATTTCAAGGCTATCTCATCAGGAGGATATTCTCTGAAATAAAAACCACAACAACATTTATTTTAAAAATTTAAGCAAACACAATTTAAATATTTAAATTGCATTTTAAATACCATTCTGGAACATGAAGTCTATCTAAGTATATTCTCAGATACAGACTGTAATAATGTAATGATTTTTTCCCTATTTAAAGTTCTGGCATAATTTCCTTTTCTTCTGTAATTAGGCAGAAACAACATGTGTCAATTTAATTCTCAAATTTTCTCTTTTCCACCACTCCCCTAAACAGTCCCAAATTCTGACTCTGGCTAAGATTCAGTAAATAATTCCAATCCAATCCCCAGTAGCTGGGTTAATGAATTGTCTCATTTAAAAGTCACATTTAGCAGACAGTTTTGCAAATCTGCCTCAGTGACTGTTACTTTAATTTTCCTTCATACTTTTCATTCTTTAAAAAGAAAAAAAGGCCTATTAACTTCAACAATCTAGTAAAAAATACTTTTTTCTTAAAAATGGAAACAGAATATCTGTTATTTCCTCACCATCTGACCAGGTACTGTTTAATTGATCTCTTTCTGCCACAGCTGCTGCCTTCCAGAGATTATCTTTGTTAATTCTGCCCACAATTAAGAGATGATAAAGAGGAAGAGATGGATATTGATTAGCATTACACATAATATAAAAATGCCATACAACCTTCTGGTTTTCAATGCTGAGCTGTTGCAGGGAGCTAATGCATCCTGCAGGCAATTATGGCATCTCCAGCAAAAAAACACAGAAATCTGCATTTGCACATAATCATTACAGCCTTAGCAGCAGATTTTATTTGTTTGTTTGATTTTTTTTTTTTTGTTTAAAGCCAAAATGTCAGGTTACATCTTGCTGTTCCCTAGCCCTGCTACAGATTTATGAATATACATTCATTTATTAGATATAAGTGGCAAAAAGTGATTTTGTTTTTTGGGGGGTTTTTTTTCTGAATAGTTTTGGGTACCCAATAAAACCCAAAACTTAAAATTGACTACAAAAGACCTTGAATACAACCCAGTTATGCTGTGTTAATTCCCTGGCTATAAGCATTTAGCTTGGAAGGGACACACCAAGGCAATCCAGCTTTCTCCCATAAGCTGTGGTTGATGCCTTGATGGAAGATTTATGTGGAAAAAATGTGGAAAAGTGCCAATCACCTGCCAGAAAAATGGGTAAGTGCAGGAACACACCTGGACAGGCTCATGGCATCCCTTTAGGTCCATTTATCCTTTTTCACTTCACTGTACTCCACAGTGAACATTTATACAACACCCAGTGCTTGACACACACTTGAGAAAGATTTAGGTTGAAATTTCTTGAAAAATTCAAATGCTTTTGGAAGCACTAAAAATACCAGACAATAAATGTGATGCCTCATTCCTTATTTCCTGAAGAAAACAATGCTAAAAGTGTTTTCACTGCCTCTGATCCCTCCTTCCTGGAGGACTTTCCTCACAAGAGGCTGAAGAATCAACTGCTCTTACCTTAATCTATCTTTACAACACCTTTGCACACATTTACCCAAGGAGGAATTCCCACAGGGGGCACATTTGGTAACTTGTGACAGTCAATAACTAAAATAAACTGCAGAGATACACATGGAGAGTTTGTCTGCTCAAGCATTTCCTTCTTTTAGCAGTTCTGTGATGGCCCAGCACCTGTAAATGAACTGAAAAGTGCAAATCCCCCAGCCAAGCAGTGTCTGGGCTCAGTGCTCACACTGGGCACAGCTCAGAGCACAGCTCCCAGTCAGCCACACACTACTGGCACTGAGGGACACAAAAAACACACTCTTGGGACACAAAAACCGGTCCTGGGACACAAAAAACACAGCCCTGGGACACAAAAAGCAGTCCTGGGACCCCAAAAACAGCCCTGAGACACAAAAACCAGTCCTGGGACACGAAAAACAGTCTTGGGACACAAAGCACAGTCCTGGGACATGAAAAACAGCCCTGGGACACAAAAAAACAGTCCTGGGATACAAAAAATACACTCCTGGGACACAGAAACCAGTCCTGGGACACAAAACACAGTCCTGGGACACAAAAATCAGCCTGAGTTGATCCCAAACAAGCCCAAGTGACAGAGCAACATAATTTCTATTGATTTGCTCTCAAAGGCAGGATGCAGCTGTGAAACTGAGATGGTTTTCTAAGCAGCCCCTTCCAGCACAGCGGCTCCCACTGCTCACTGAGGAGAGGCACCAAAAGCTGCCTCTCCTTTTTCCTCTCCACAGCCTTCTGTGCTCCTCAGAAATGGCACTGCAGTGGCACAGTGACAGGGACACAAAGGAACTGGGTGCAGAAATGGCACTGCAGTGGCACTCAGTGACAGGGACACAGAGGAACTGGGTGCAGAAATGGCACTGCAGTGGCACAGGGACACAGAGGAACTGGGTGTCTCTGTTCTTTCAGTGTTGTGAAAACTCCCTGGGACAAAGCACACTCCTCTCCAGGGACATTGTCCTGCTAAGTAGCACAGATGGTGAATATTTAATTTTTTTTCTCCTCAGCATCTTTAATGCTAAAATTTCTCCTCAGCAGCAAGCTGGAAAATCCAACAGAAAGACAAAAATCAATGGCCAGTGAAAGAAAACAAATAGCACTTAACAGCTGACGGCTTTTATGGGCATCCTGTCCCACCTCCATCTCCAAAGATCCCTCTGCAGAGCCGTGGGTGCTGTGATGGGACACAGAGCTCCCTGCAGGAGCCCTGGCCTCACATTGCCACCCCATCAATGGAACAGATGATGTGACCTCAGAAAGCACAGCACAACCAACCAGCACAACTGCTGAAAAGGAAACAACTCTGCAGGTGCTGAGCTTCTGATGGACACCAGATGTCACCTAACAAATGTACACAGGAGCTCCAGGAGGAAGCTGCTGCAGCTTTGCAAAGTCCTCAGCCCCATCACAACCAGCAGACTGAACTGACTGATGCAGGGATGAGTTCATTCAACACCCAGAGAAAAGGTGGCAGCTGCACGAGGGGACAGGGACAGAACTGGTTGTGACCATGGGTCAGCAGCTGAGGAACCAGTCCTGCAATGTGGATCAGGGAGAGAGAAATGGCAATTGTTTCTCACAGTGAGAATTGTGAGAATTTTAGGAGTTGTAGGAATGTGATACTTGTTAGTATAAACAATCTACAGGTAGCGTTTTTCCACTTTTTCCTCAAGGACAGGATGTGAAAAAAATGGTTTTTATTAACTAGAGGAAGCTGCTGCAGCTTTGCAATCTCCTTCTCAGCCCCACATCACAACCAGCAGGTTGAGCTGGCTGCTGATGCAGGGGTGAGTTCATTCAACACCCAGAGCAAGGTGGCAGCTGCACAAGGGCACAGGGACAGAGGTGACCGGGACATGCCCTGGTTGTGAGCACACGGGTCAGCAGCTGAGGAACCAGTCCTGCAGTGTGATGCCAGCCTGGTCAGGGGCAGAGAAATGACAATTGTTGCTCACAGCGAGAATTGTGAGAATTTTAGGAGTTGTAGGAATGTGATAACTTGTTAATATAAACAATCTACAGTTCGAATTTTTCCACTTTGTTTTCCTGTTCTTCTCAAGGACAGTTTGTGGAAATGTTTTTTATTAAGTAGCCAATCAAGTAGAATATGTCATATCAGTCTATATAAACCAAAGAATCCTTTGTAATAAAAGCTCTTTTTCTCCTCTCATCTGTTCCTGTGCCATTCTTAGCTCGAGGGTGACACTGCACCCATGGGTGCAGGTGGGAATGTGTTTGCCACGCCCAAATGCCAGCATCCATCCTGATTTGGAGGTTGGTAGGAATCAAACCAGAGAGGAGCCCTCTCTTCCCTGAGCTGTGTGGGATGTGGGCAGGCAGGTCTGGGAAATCACTGCAGTGTTAGTGAAGCATTAGCAGCTTTGCTTTTCCTCCCTCACATGCTGCTATCATTTCATGTCACTGAACCAATTCTCATACAATTGTCTGAGGCTCCAAGTGGAAAAAACTCATTATCCTTCGAGTCCAGCTGTTAAGAATATGGGATTATGTTGTATTTCCATCTGCAATACAGCAGAAGCATTAGCTCTTTTTGAACTATGGCCAGGAGGATGCAGATTTAATTGCCCTCATAGCTCCTCCTGCTTCAAAATAAAACCATCTTTCAAACCCATTGCATTTTCAGAACTCATGCACTTGAAGTGTGACCTGGTTCCCTCAAACCTGAAGAGTTTAACAAGGAGAGGGTTCTCTTGCTCTATTCCTGCCAGCCAAGAATGGCTTGTATGTGATATACAAGCAGCTAAATTTCACCTTGAAACCTGAATTCTAAGGCAGTTTAGAAAGATTAGAAAGCCCAAGAGAATGGAGCCAAGCTCTGCTCATTGTTAAAAACAGGAATGTCCTGAGTGTTCATTGTGTGGTGAAACTGCTGTCAAGGGTCACTAAGTGAAGGAGGGAACCACAAGCCATGATTTATTGAGAAAGTTTGTTTTATTGGTTTATAAATCACACCTACCTCGTAATTAAAAAAGCTCTTTATCAACTTAAAACATTACCAGAGCCAACATATAAATACATATTTAGAGACTCCTCACTTGATTCCCAAGTAACAGTCTGCCTTGTTCTCTCCTATCTGAACACTTCCTTATTGCTCATTACATTTTAGCAGCCAAACATGCAAATCTAACATAACATACCTGCTGTACTGAGACCCTGATTTTTCAACATTACTGCAAGGCTCTTCCACCCTCCAGCAAAGCAAAGATTCTGTGAGTTTTAGATTTAAACAGGAAAATACCAGGACACTTTACATGAGATTTTTCTGAGGGTGCAAAAGACATAGATATTGTAGAAATAAACTGTAAATTGCTGTTTTGATAATATATTTGACCCCAAATTTACCTTTATTCCAGGTACTTTGGTTCTGAACAATCTATAGCAGCATTTTGACAGAGAAGTGCAGCTCCTTTCAAACACAGCTGATATAATAAATTACCAACACAATAATGTTGGCTCAGGTATTTATTTTGAGTCACCCCTGGGCTGTACCTGATGAAGAAGATTTTACTCTCCATTAAGACAGACCACAGGTGATTCAAGCAGGTGGAGCAAGACCAGCTAACCCAGGTAGGCCTGAGCACATTCTGATTGAAATAAGACAGTGCAGGTGAGCACAGCTCTTTGCAGTCAGCACCGCTCACTGTGATGATGATGATGATGATGATGATGATGATGATGATGATGATGATGTCCCCTAGAGCTTGCTGTTCTGCTGGAACTGGGCCACCAAGGCCAGCACCTGCTCAGAGGCCCTGACCTGCTTGGAGGCCAGGTAGAGGGCGCTGTTGGAGGCCGTCTCCTCCAGGAAATACCGGTAGTTGACCATCATGCCGCAGGAGGCGCCGATGCCCCTGGGGCTGCTGTCCCCCATCCAGTTGATCCTCCAGAGCACCGAGCCGTTCTGCAGGTGGAAATTGGCCACGGGGTTGAGGGCATAGCCCCTGTGCTTCTCCCCATACAGGTACCAGGCACAGAGCCTCATCAGGGGCGAGTGCAGCACCTGGGCCAGCTTCTCGGACCTCACCCACTCGTTGGTGTTCAGCAGTTTCTTCAGTGTGTTACAGGTGGGGTCTCCTGTGAGCTCAGAGATCTCCTGCCACTCAGATTCTGTAAATAGTTCATTCCTTCCCTGCTCTTTTGTCTGGGAGGAGAGGAGACCAACGAGCCATTTTGTGAATCCTGGGATAGGGGAAAGTGTGGAAAAAGCTTCTATCTGAGGAAGTTCTTTCTGGAGAAAAAAAAGAGAACAAATAAATCATGAGTTTGGTTGGGACTGACCCAGAGAAGTTGGAGTCAAAGGGCAGTGATGGCCTTGGCCTTTTGGGAAGTGAAAACCAGGGACTGATACACATGGACACAAAAAAATGGGAAAAATTCCTCCTGGCAGTAACAGGTTAGTGATGAGAAGGCACTGGGAGCACACAGAAAATTTTAACACTGCCTGAATCCATTCCTCACACACCATCTCATAAAAGCACTTTTGCAGTACTTAACACCACTGGGTTCTGCTGTTATCCTTTTACAGGCAGAAATAAACATAAAATCACAGGCCATAAAGAAGTGATTCTGAAGAGAGTATTTTTTAATAGACATGCAAGTTTGGAAAACCATTTAAGTACTATTTATTTTTCATTAATACCTTTTTTTTTTGTTTATTTAGTTTATTATTTTAGTCTATTGTAAAATCAAGAGGTTTTATATTTAGATTTTTATGGAAAAAAGTATTTCCTGAAGTTTTGAACTAAGTTCTTTATAAAGGCCAGCTACCTTTAATGATATTCCCTAAACCAGCAAGAAATACAAAGTGTGTGAATATTTTTTTATTGCAAGTATAACACTTGTTTTAACCATATAAAATTTCTTCTCTACTCCTGCTAATTTCTGATTAAACCTTGCTAACTATGAAATCATGTAAATCAAAACATACATAAGGAAAACTGTGTTAGCTTTGGGAATAATAAAGTCACTGTCACTTGGAATGAACCCAAATGGATCAACCAACCCTCCTGGAGGAGTGGGGAGCCAAGGAACAGAAGGAAGACAGAGCTGAGCTCAAACCACCCCAGCGTTGGTTTAATTACTGTTCCAACAGAAGAAAGGTAAGAACCAAGACATTCATCAACATTACAGAAGCATCTTAACGTCGGCAGAAAATTGTCTTTAAATGACTACAAATGGCGCTTTTCTACCTCGAGGATTACCGAGGTACCCATTAAAAAGCCATCAGGGCTCAGCTGGTGCTGCCAGGTTGTGGGAGCTGCACAGCTGCCACCTGCAGCCGGCCCGGGAGGCTGCAGGCTCCGGGATCCAGCTCGGG